CGCAACTAAGACCTGGCGCAGCCTAAATAAATGAACAAATATTTTAAAAAAATGTTTAAGAACAGCAAAATAGATAAATAAATTGTGATGTACTCTACAATGGAATACTATTCAGCAATGAAAAATAAGCTGCAACAACATGGATGAATTTTACAGAATAATGTAGAGCAAAAGAAATGACATAAAAGAATACACACAGCATGATTCCACTTGTATAAAGTTCAAAAACATGCAAAACTGAAATACACTGTTTAGGGATTCCAAAACTAGACGGTAAAACTATGGAGGAAAGAGGAAACAATTATCAAAAACATCAGGGCATTGGTTACTTCTAGAAGAGGAGGGAGGGGGATGTGATTGGAAAAAACAAAGAGGGAGCTCCTGGGGGGGCCTCACCATCACTTGACTCAGGTGTCACTTTATAATTATTTGTTATTTAGTACCTCTGTGACTTATTCACCTTCTGTATACATGCTACATTTCACAATTAAAAACTTAACAATCTGATGCAAAAATGAAAACTTGGGCCCATGGGTATTTCTCTGTATTTTTATACTTTCTAAAAATGTATATTTTTAGAATGATTCTGATCATCAGCCAGGTTTGAGGACAGCTCTAAGGAAATTCTTCCTGATCTGCCCCTGCAAACAACCTACCATCACCAACAACAGACCTCCTCTCAGTCTCTCATCTAAGTGTCTGGGAGGCAAATGAGAAACTCCTCCCAGCTTCTCCAGCTCTTTCCCACTGGCTGCCCCCGGCTGGGTGACAGGGCCGCACACCCCTGTACGCACACACAGCACAGCAGTGGTCAAAGAGGCTACGTGCTGGCTCTCAGGGACCTGTTTCTCTTGCCAGCCGCAGGTCTCTCTGCTTTCTTGCCCCATTTACCAAACCAACCAGGTTTGGCTGAAGGTGGACCATGGCCTGGATAGTATGTTTGTCTGGGCAGCTTGGAATGCCTGAGAGGAGACATTTCAAGCTATCCTGGGGAAAGATGCTGAGTGCCTGAAGAAGCCCAAGTCGAGAGAGTGGAAAGATATAGGAGAGACAGACCTGAGTTCTATATAAACCTAGACATTGGCCCGACCTTAGCTGCAGACTTCCTCACTTGACGGCATCCTTCCAAAGGCTCAGCAATCTAGGCTGAGGAAGCTCATAGTGGGTACCTCTCTTCAGCAACTCTTATTCCAGATCTGCTGGGAATCTCCACATAGACCTTCCAATGAAGGCCTCTAATTCACATGGCCCATACTCTCTTCCTAAACCTCCTCCTTCTCTAGCATTCTCCAGCTTAGCGAAAGGGAATGATACCACCTTCCATCCAAGCCTAAAACCTGGGTCCTCCAGCTGTCTCATCAGCAAGTCCCATTGGTTCTACCTCTGAAGCTCCAGGATCTGATCACTTCCTCCAAGCTGTTACTCCAGTCCTGACCGCCATCATCTCTCAGCTGGACTACTTCAACCATCTGCTAAACAAGCAAACAGGCTCCAGGATTTCCCTTCTCCTGTGGCTTCTTCACACAGTACTCAAAGAGATTGGTCTAAAATGCAAACATGATTACATCTCTCTCTTGCTTAAAAGCCTTCAGTGGCTCCATACTATCTTCTGGAAAACAACCAAATTTCCTAATATGGGGTATGAATCCCTTTATTTTCTAATTCTCTAGGTCTTATCTCTTATAATCCTATCCCTCAAATGCTTTGATCCAGCTCTGCTGAAATTTTTGTACTTCCTTAAAAGTACCAAGCCCTCTCACCTCTACACCTTTGTGCATGCTATACCCTCCTCCTATCCTTTCCACCCAAATCTTCCTTGGCCCCAGTAACTCCTACTTATTTCTCAGGTTGTGGGTTAAATGTCAGTTCCTCTGGGGGTCTTCCCTTGCGCCCCAGAGTCCTTTGTGTTCATTCAGCATCCCACCTGGTCACAATACCTCTCAGAGGAGTTGCTAAAGCCTGTTTAATTATCTGTCTTCGGATCCTGTCTGAATTCTTTGTCTATTTTTTTTTTTTGGTATTCTTTGCCTTTATCTGCCCCAGAACCTGATCCAGAATGACATTTAGCAAGCACCTGACACCTAACTGAATGTGGACAGCTGTGTACTCAGAAGTCTGAGACGTTTAAAAAAGTAGTCTCTACGGGCTTCCCTGGTGGCGCGGTGGTTGGGAGTCTGCCTGCCGATGCAGGGGACGCGGGTTCGTGCCCCGGTCCGGGAGGATCCCACATGCCGCGGAGCGGCTGGGCCCGTGAGCCATGGCCGCTGAGCCTGCGCGTCCGGAGCCTGTGCTCCGCAACGGGAGAGGCCACGACAGTGAGAGGCCCGCGTACCGCAAAAAAAAAAAAAAAAAAGTAGTCTCTATTTTCAAAAGTTTACAGATGAAGACAACCTAAATCATCTTCACCCACAAAAACACCTCCAAGGGCCAGATGACACTGACCACGTCCAAAGCCAAATCAAGACCACCAGCTCAGGACAGGACAAATCACTAGTCAGAACCCCCAGCAGAAGGCTTGTCTGTGATTCTCACACTCGGCTCCAGTTCACTACCCACCCACTGACCCAGCTGGCACCAACTCCTGCTTCTGGCCCTACTTCATATAAAACATCCAGCAGAAAGACCAGACGCAGAAAAAGAACACCGAGAACACATATGGGAATGGGACTGAGCTGAGGGATGAAGGGTGGCAGCAGAGAAGAGCTCAGAATGAACTAAGGACCAGGGTTCAGGGCCGGCACCCCTTCAGGACCCTGCCCCACCAGAGCCACAGCTAGTGAGGTTCGAACCTACACAGCCAGCGGATGGTTCTGACTCCTCAACTTTCCTGCCAAAACCACTTCTGCCTGCTCAGCAGCTGCTCTCAGGAGTATGGGCTGGAGAGAGGTTCATACCCTTTCTGCCTGATTTGATGGAAACTACAGAAGGGCAGCATCACACATGCACTTAATTTAGGAGAATTCGACCATGGGCCCCTGCAAAATAAATAAATAAAAAGAGAGAGAGGGAATGAACACATATTCTCTCATAGTGAACAACTCAGAACTGGGTGAGATTCTAGTGCCGAGACTTTTTTTTTTTTTTTTACAGGAACATTTATTTATTTATTTGTTTATTGGCTGCATTGGGTCTTCGTTGCTGCACGCAGGGTTTCTCTAGTTGCAGCGAGCAGGGGCTACCCTTCGCTGCAGTGCGCAGGCTTCCCATTTGAGGTGTCTTCTCTTGTGGCGGAGTACGGGCTCTAGGTGTGCGGGCTTCAGTAGTGGTGGCACGCGGGCTCAGTAGTTGTGGCTCACGGGCTTAGCTGCTCTGCGGCATGTGGGATCTTCCCAGACCAGGGCTCGAACCCGTGTCCCGTGCATTGGCAGGAGGATTTCTTAACCACTGCGCCACCAGGGAAGTCCTAGTGCTGAGACATTTAGATTTTCCATACAGCTGGCTCCTAAACTCAAAGAAACCTTGTTTATACCTTTCTTTTGTGTATTTTTAAAAATCCTTTCCCTCTTCTGCTCTTTTGCATTTATGTAATTTTAAAAACTAAAATTATATTTTCTATGTATGCCCCTTCTTATATACTGTACATTACTATATGTTGCACATTCATACAAACATATTACCATAAAAGAGTATGTATGCAAAATCACATAGACCTTATGTTGTGGCCATTTATGGATTTTTCAAAGCTACTGTTGATTACACATGGTTTCTGCCTACATGTTGACTTTAGAACCTGATACCCACAAAGGATGTGGCTCCACCATGGGTACCATCCTCCAGGTTCTTCCTCTGGCATCTGTACCAAGCCAGGAATGACATGACTTTGTCCAACATCTGAGAACTCTAGTGGCCAACCTGACAATGACAGGCGGCCTACAAACACTCCCCTATCAGGATCCTTACCCGTCCCTGGGGCAGAACTGAGATGTGGGGCATCCAAGGCCTCTCAAAAGACTGAGGGTTGCCAGGTCTGCTCCTGCCTTTTGATTTTATTTCCTGTTTCTTCAAGGACAATTTTGGAGTCACCCTAGCTACAAGCAAGGGGTGGCAAGGCCAGTTCCCTCCCCTTCTCTTTAGGTCCCCAGCCCAGAAGAGTGACAGGTGGGGAGCTAATCCATTCCACACTGCTAAAGAAGGACCTGCTTGGGTTCAGTCTGCAGTTTTTCAGGCTGGGTCATAATCCCACCACGAGGTGAGGGTTCTGGGACCTCAGACCACCATGAAAGTATCCAGGGGGCTCTAGACATCCCACACTTAAGTGTCCTTCCTCAGCCCAGACCAGCCTGAGGGTCCAAACTTCCAAGGAACCCACAAATGATCGTTAGAATAGTCTCATTCCTTCACAACCTCAGACAAGGAACCGAGTCCCCATTTTTCAGATGAGGAAACTGAAATCTCCTGTCAAAGCAAGACACGATCACTGGACTTCTGTCTCCCAAAACAAGATTTCTGGAACTTTCTGGTTACCTTTTAATTACTCATCACCAGGGGTTTCTTACCCTTCACAAATTTCACTCAGTTCTTTTCCCCCACCCTCTCCCTCAACGCCTAAATCTTCTACCCCCATCTTCCCTTTTTCCTGCCAATTCGATTTCCCAGTTTCTTCCCCAAGGTCTAAACACCTCCTTGAATTCCCGAGGACCCCGCTTCCATAGTGGCACCTACGTGGAGCATCTCCTTTTCTTAAAAAAAAAAAAAAAGTCCTTTCCTGTGGCTCAGAGCCACCAACCCCCTCGCTCTTGGGCCCCTCATTCCCCCTTTTCCTTTGCTAACCCACCCTGCTCAGGCCTTTGTGATCCGCTTCCTCAACTTCCTCGCCCTCCCGCCTCATCACCGACGGTCCCATCCTGCATACAGCCTGCCCCCAAAGTTTCAGAATCCGTTCTTGCAACTCTCCCGGGCGCTGCTCCCGCCCTCTCAAAAGCTCAGTCTTGAGCCTATTCTTTCCGAGAATCCCCGCATCCCATCACCACAGCCCCCGGCTCCGGCTCCCGCGCGCTTACCCGACCAGAGCACCAGCTTGTCGTGCGCTTCCTCCTGGGAGTCCGAGTCCCCGGCCAGCAGAGTGGAGGTGGCCCCGTAGGGCAGCGCCGAGCCCAGGCACACGTTATAGCGCAGCGGCTCGCAGGGGGCGGCCCGGCCGCAGTGGCTCAGCAGCGGCGGAGGGCCGGTCACGGCCGCGCTCCTTCTCGCGCTCCCGCCCGCGCTCCGCGGCCCAGGCCGGGTCGCGTTCCCGCTCAAGGCCGCCCCCCGGCCCGTGCCCCCCAGCAGCAGCAGCAGCAACAGCCCCAGGAGCAGGAGCGCCGGCCCCCGTGCGAGGCGGGCAGCGGCCATGGCCAAACCCGCCAACTCAGCAGAAGCCCTGGAGCCCCCGCCCGCTCTCCGGAGCCCCCAGGCCACACGCGCAACCCTTGGGGCCTCGGGGGCAGCTCAGGCGACCAGTGCGCCCCGCGAGTCCGGTGCCGGGCCCCCCCGGACGCTCTGCGCGCCGCGGGCCCTAGGCGCCCAACTTCGCAAACTTTGGAACCCGGGGCCCATGTTGGGCGGTGGAGGCTCGGGCCGGGATGCACAGCTCTCTACCCCTTCCCCTGGCAATCCTAGTTATCTTCAGCTGCGGGAGCCCCCTGGGCCCCCAATCTCTAGCCCCATCCCTTCTCCCACCATTAAAACCACCTCCCGGCCCCGCGATGGAGGCCAGGCGCGGGCCGGGAGTGCTGGACTAGGTTCCCGGCTCCACCCTCGCGCCAGCCTGCGGCCCTGACGCCCACTTGGCTGCACTGTGCCGCAGCCCCGGGACTCTCCCCGCCAACTACCCGGCTCCTTTGTTGCTCTAGCTCGCTCGGCTCTCTGGAATGCACGGGCCTCGCCGGGCCAAGCCCGGCCCCCCCTCTTCTACGGCTGGGGGAGGGACTGGCCGAGGGAGGGAAGAGGAGGAGCTCGAGCTTCAGCGTCCCGGGCGCCCGGAGAGGCCCGGACCAGGGGCTCTGGTGACCCCGCCACTGCCTCGGGTCAAGAGATGGGCGGAAATCGTGGCCAGTAGTTGCCACAAGACTCAGCAGGCACCTTGATTGGCCTGAGGATCGTTCAGCCCGGTCTCCTCCGGTTTACGGTGGGAGAGACAGGGGGTGCCTGAAGCCTCTGTTACATCCCGCCCTGCTCCCCAACCCGCCAGGCTTTTCTGCTTTGCGTTAGATCTTTCAACTTGCCCTAGGGCCCCATGGAGAAGACCGGGGTTTGGGGTTCCCACTCGTCCGAGTCCTTCCAGCTCAGGACCTGTGTGAGAGTCTACCTCAGAGTCACTCAGGGCAGCTGCCCCCCACTGCTGTCACCTCGGGGAGCAGGTGTCTGGAAACCAAAAGTGCCAACATCAAGCCTTTATTGCTACAAATGTGTGAAGCTCTGGACTGCGGTTGCCAACAGCTGGCCTGGTGTGTCTTTAGTTATGTCCAAAGGAGGCCAGTCCCTCTTTGATGGCCCTTTGCTGCTCAGTCTGGCCAAGGAAGTTTATGCTGCTCTCCTTCCCTACTCTGCTGATTTTGCCTTTTCTCACTCCTTTGCTTGTCATGCTTTCAGTCACGGAATTTGATTTCACCCTGCAGCGGTTTCCACCTCTTAGTAACCAGGGGTCCAGCCGGAGAGTGGACTTGCGTTGAGCAGCTTTTCCATGTTGTTGATGGGGCAGCACACTAGGGTGGATTTTCCTTTCTTACCACTGCCCCTACCCCTTTAGCCTAGCCCAAGTGAACTAGTTCTGTTAGGTTCGGCCATTTTAGAGCAAATTAGCTATTGCACCTCAGCTACCATCCTCAAGTGTTACATAAGCCCTAGAGACGGGGGGGGGGGGGGGGGGCGGTGAGAGAGAGAGAGAGAGACAGAGAGAGATGATTTAATTCAATTTAGCAAGTCTTTTTCTGAAATCCTGGGATGTATGTAGCACTGTGATAGGCATGACATACTTGTAGAACTTGAGAACTTGGATTTTTACTGTGGAGTCAAGGCTTGCCCTCAAGAAACAGTAATATACTACGACAAAGCAGCAAAGTCTCCTCCTCTAGGGCAAGGACCTTATTCTATTCTCCGTATCCACAAAGCATCCAGTGCAGTCAGGCGTGCAGTATTAACCACTCGATAAATAAGCTGCCGAAATGAGGTGTACAGTGAGCGTACTGTAGGAACTTATAGCAGGAAAAGGTCAGTGTGGGTAGCAGTGGAGGAGGTGGGATTTGAATCCAGCCCTGAAAAGTGAGTAGGAAGAGTTAGAAAAGTAGAGAGAAGCCCAGCTGGCATTACAAGTGGAGGAAACTATGACTACAGCTCAGAGCATGACCAGCCTGGCAATCAGGACATAGTAGGGGGTAAGCAGGGAAACTGACTGGTAAGAAACCGTAAATGACATACAGAGGAATTAAGGTTTCTTCTAGTGGCAATAGGAAACAGTGAAAAATTTTGATCAGAGGAGTGATATGTTTAAGAACATTAATCAGTCAATGTGAGGATGGTACGAAGGGCAAGAGTCTGGAGACAAGGGACCATTTTGAGGGAAGTCGCTGGTGATTTGTGGAAGAAGTGGGAACAGTCTATGTCATCAGGGTGTAATATTCCTACTGGAAAAATAATTTAAAACATTATGACCTACCTCAGTTATTTTTTTTTTCTATGATATAAATTTAGGCTGTTATGTCTAAAGTTTGAGCCACAGAGAAGGTTACCTGATACCACACTGTTGCTTTGCTTTAGGAACTTTCTCCACTTGTTTTCTATCCGGTTGTTACTGTGGCAGCTTTGAAGCCTTGGGATTTTCTCCGTAGTCCATGCATTAGGGAGAAACCTATGCATATGCTCAGGCAGCCCCTTACCTTTCTGCCTAAAAATGTTAGCAATTCTTCAAGTATGAAGGCTGTACCATCCCTTTGGGATTTCTTGGGAAGCAGAAGAATCTTTTGTGGAAGAATCACATCACTGTAATGTAGAACCTTTATTCTAGAGATTGAGAAGACCCTGCAGTGTTGTCTTCCATCCAGAATGTTCTTCCCTTCGGGAGGAGGGAGAAGATGTGCTAATTTCTCAACTCCTTGAGACTCACTCTCCAGGAAGTGGAGTTTCAGGATCCTGTCAGACAGCAGGTTCAGGAGAGGATGGAAAATGTTCAGTGGAGACTGGGGAAGAGAGGATTCCTTGGTGGTTCCTGAATGGCATTCAAGGTCCTGGAGAAAGCCCATCCATCCCCTCCTTCAGGCATACCAAGACCGCCAGTGTCTTTTAGAGACTCCTCTGAGTGATCTGACACACTCCTGTTCTCCAACCTCATGGTAGCAGGGTGAGAACTGCTGCTCTCCTGAGCCTGAGCCACCCCTGCCCAGTTCCTCCAGAGTCTTAACCCTGTATACATGTCATAACACAGTCCTTTTGTCAGGTTCAAGAGAAGCTATCCTGTGTGACAGTGTATTACAGTACTTGATTTGCTACAAGTAGCTTCTTGATTTCTGAGTCATTCTCACCAAATATTTTGGCATTTTGAGGTCACACATTCGATGCTGACTATCTGTTATCTGCCTCTGGGCCCTCCACTTGAAAAGAATGAACATGAAAGTATCTATGGGCTATCCCTGGGTATCCTTGAGACCTTAGTTGCTTCCTTATGGTTCAGTTGTCACACTGGCCAGAATTTGGAGCATAATTATTGCAGTGCTCCAGTTCTTTCTTTTTTCCCATGTTTCTTATTTTACAATGAAGAGCATCAGTCAGAAGTAAAGGACAAACTGAGAAAGGAGCTAGATAAGCTACATCCTCAGAGAACGAGTACAATCGATTTGGAGTTAGAGACCTGACTAGCCAAGGACCTCTGAACAACTTAGTCTAAGTCCCTATTTCTTTCTTTATAAAAATGAGATATTATCAGTTGTATTTCAATACATCAGAAATGAATGTTCTGAAAAGGAAATTAAAATAGCAATTCCATTTACAAAGTATCTAAAAGAATTAAGTATTTAAGAATAAATCTAACCTAGGAGGTGAAAGACTTGTACACTGAAAACTACAAAAGGTTGCTGAAAGAAATTAAAGAAGACCTAAATAAATGGAAAGACATTCTGTGTTCATGGATACGAAGACTTAGCAATGTTAAGATGTTAATACTACCCAAAACAATCTATAGATTTAACACAATCCCTATGAAAATTCCAACAGCCTTTTTTCACAGAAATGGAAAAGTGGACTGATCCTGAAATACATATAGAATTACAAGGGGCCCTGAATGGCCAAAACAATCTTGAAAAAAAGATTAATAAAATTAGAGGACTTAAACTTCACAATTTTAAAACTTACTACAAAGCTGCAGCAATTAAAACGTTATGATAGGGCCTCCCTGGTGGTGCAGTGGCTAAGAATCCGCCTGCCAACGCAGGTGACATAGGTTCAAGCCCTGGTCCGGGAAGATCCCACACGCCGCGAAGCAACTAAGCCCGTGCGCCACACTACTGAGACTGCACTCTAGAGCCCACGCACCGCAACTACTGAAGCCCGTGAGCCACAACCACTGAAGCCCGTGAGCCACAACTACTGAGCCCACGAGCTACAACTACTGAAGCCCACGCGCCTAGAGCCCATGCTCCACAACAAGAGAAGCCACCGCAATGAGAAGCCTGCGCACAACAACAAAGAGTAGCCCCCGCTCACCGCAAGTAGAGAAAGCCCGCGTGCAGCAACGAAGACCCAACGCAGCCAAAAATAAACAAATAAATAAAAATGTATTAAAAACAACAAAAGAAACCACTATGATACTGGCAGAAGGAGAGACATATAGGCCAATAGAATAGAATAGAGAGCTTAAAAATAAACCCTTACATATATGGCCAATTGATTTTCTAGAAGGGTACCAAAACTATTCAGTGGGAAAACGACAGTCTTTTCAAAAGAAATGTTGGGAAAACTAGATATTTACATGCAAAAGAAGGAAGTTGTACCCTTACCTTACACAATAAACAAAGATTAATTAAAAATAGATTAAAGACCTAAATTTAAGAGCTAAAAACTATAAAAATCTTAGAAGAAAACTGGGGGAAATCTGCATGACACTGTATTTGGCAATGATTTTAAGGATAGGACACCCAAATTATAGGCAATAAAAGAAAACATAGATAAATGGCACTTCACCAAAATTAAGGACTTTGGTGCATTAAAGGATACTATTATTAAAGCAAAAAGACAACAAACAGAATGGGAGAAAATGCTTGCAAATCATATATCTGATAAGGGATTAATATCCAGAATATATAAAGAACTCCTAAAACTCAACAACAGCAACAACAAAACAACCCAATTAAAAAGGGCCAGGGCTTCCCTGGTGGCGCAGTGGTTGGGAGCCCGCCTGCCAATGCAGGGGACACGGGTTTCGTGCCCCGGTCCGGGAAGATCCCACATGCCACAGAGCGGCTGGGCCCGTGAGCCATGGCCGCTGGGCCTGCGCATCCGGAGCCTGTGCTCCGCAACGGGAGAGGCCACAACAGTGAGAGGCCTGCGTACCGCAAAAAAAAAAAAGGGCCAAAGACTTGAACAGACATTTCTCCAAAGAAGACATACAAATGGCCAATAAGCACATGAAAAGATGCTCAACACCATTAGTCATTAGGGAAAGGCAAATCAAAACAACAATGAGATACCACTCCACAACTATTAGGATGGCTATTAAAAACACACACACACACAGAAAAGATAACAAGTGTTGGCAAGGACATAGAAAAATTAAAATCCTTGTGCACTGATGGTGGGAATGTAAAATGATGCAACTGCTGTGGTAAAATTTTGTAGTTTCCAAAGGTTAAACATAGAACTGCCATATACCCCAGCAATTCCACTCCTAGGTATATGTCCAAGAGAACGGACAGCAGGAAGTCAAACATATACTTGTATACCAATGGTCATAGCAGCACTATTCACGATAGCCAAAAGGCAGAAACAACCTAAGCGTCCATCGATAGATGAATGGATAAATAAAATGTGGTATATGCAGTTGACCCTTGAACAACACAGGACTGAACTGCGGGGGTCCACTTATGAGCGGATTCTTTTCAATAAATGCTACAGTATTACATGATCCAAGGTTGGTTGTATCTGCAGGTGCAGAACCATGGATATGGAGGGCCAACCAGGGACTCTAAGGATTTTGGTATCTGAGGCCGGTCCTGGAACCAATTCCCTGTGGATACTAAGGGATGACCGTACATACAGTGGAATATTAATTAGCCATAAAAATGAATGAAATTTTGGTACATGTTATAACATGTATGGACCTTGAAAACATTATTTTCAATGAAATAAGCCAGACAGGGGGCTTCCCTGGTGGTGCAGTGGTTAAGAATCCGCCTGCCAATGCAGGGGACATGGGTTCGAGTCCTGGTCTGGGAAGATCCCACATGGC